CCAGGTCGCTCATGCAAAAGAGCTGTGCAGCTCAGTGGGCCTCACGTGGTAAAAGAAAAAAAAATAGTTTATAGTTTAAACCTCGGCAAAACTGTCTGCTCCTCCTCCATCCAGCAGTTGCATCTGCAGGAGAGAGAGAGAGACCGACTTATTTGCTCGAATTCTGACACCTGCCTCTGCCCTGTCTCTCGTGCGCGCGTGTGTGTTTTAACCCTGCAAACAGTTTAAGTCAATAAGTGTTGTGGCAAGAAATTGATGCCTCTGTGGGAGTTGGGGAGAGCGAGCGTTGGGGGCCGGGGAGGGGGCGAGGATTTAGAGGTGGGGGGGCCCTGGGGGGGGGGGGACAATCGAGAGGGGGGGGGGGGGTTGCTTGGAGTGTTTCCAGAGGCAGTTAGCGGACGTCTCATTCGATTACGCGATGCGCGTCTCTCGCCTCCTCGTTCCGGGCCAACGCGTTGATGTTTTTTTTTTATTGCGGACGCCGCCGGCAGGGATGCCCAGCCGTGTCTCGTTGCGTCGAATAACAACAAAAATTCAGCGCAGTGTTCTCAATGCCCGCACCTCCCCACCGTTCGGCTGCGTACGGCGCGAAATAATTTCCACACATTTGGCCACCCTTGAGCCAGAGTTGTTGCCTTGGTGTGGTCAGGGACTTCTGCTGTTGATGTTTTGCTGCCTTGCACCAAGCTTGCATTCGGTGTACGGCAAGTCGCCAGGAATCCATGTACTTGTGCCATTTGTACTTCTGTACTTTATCACGCCCCTGTAGCGTTTTTTCGTCGTATCGTTTTGTCGATGTAACTCGCTGACCCCGCGCCCCTACTGGACCGTCTGCGAGAAAGAGCTCCGTAGCTTCATTGGATTCCTCCGCCGCTCTTGCAGATTCAGCATGCATGTTGAACCTCTTTCGCACCGTACGTAGCCGACCGTGCTGATCGGAGGCGCGGGTAACCGCTCGCCGATTTATTCGGCGGTCCCCGACGAGCTTCGCTTTGGCTGCCCTCGACGGCCCTTACGCACGCGTTGCCGTGCGGCGCTGTTGAATGCGACGCTGTTGAATGCGGCGCTGTTGAATGCGACGCTGTTGAATGCGACGCTGTTGAATGCGACGCTGTTGAATGCGACGCTGTTGAATGCGACGCTGTTGAATGCGGCGCTGTTGAATGCGGCGCTGTTGAATGCGACGCTGTTGAATGCGACGCTGTTGAATGCGACGCTGTTGAATGCGACGCTGTTGAATGCGGCGCTGTTGAATGCGACGCTGTTGAATGCGGCGCTGTTGAATGCGGCGCTGTTGAATGCGACGCTGTTGAATGCGACGCTGTTGAATGCGGCGCTGTTGAATGCGACGCTGTTGAATGCGACGCTGTTGAATGCGGCGCTGTTGAATGCGGCGCTGTTGAATGCGGCGCTGTTGAATGCGACGCTGTTGAATGCGGCGCTGTTGAATGCGGCGCTGTTGAATGCGACGCTGTTGAATGCGGCGCTGTTGAATGCGACGCTGTTGAATGCGACGCTGTTGAATGCGACGCTGTTGAATGCGACGCTGTTGAATGCGACGCTGTTGAATGCGACGCTCTTGAATGCGACGCTGTTGAATGCGACGCTGTTGAATGCGACGCTGTTGAATGCGACGCTGTTGAATGCGGCGCTGTTGAATGCGAAGCTGTTGAATGCGGCGCTGTTGAATGCGACGCTGTTGAATGCGGCGCTGTTGAATGCGGCGCTGTTGAATGCGACGCTGTTGATGCGGCGCTGTTGAATGCGGCGCTGTTGAATGCGACGCTGTTGATGCGACGCTGTTGAATGCGGCGCTGTTGAATGCGGCGCTGTTGAATGCGGCGCTGTTGAATGCGGCGCTGTTGAATGCGACGCTGTTGAATGCGGCGCTGTTGAATGCGACGCTGTTGAATGCGACGCTGTTGAATGCGACGCTGTTGAATGCGACGCTGTTGAATGCGGCGCTGTTGAATGCGACGCTGTTGAATGCGACGCTGTTGAATGCGACGCTGTTGAATGCGGCGCTGTTGAATGCGACGCTGTTGAATGCGACGCTGTTGAATGCGACGCTGTTGAATGCGGACGCTGTTGAATGCGACGCTGTTGAATGCGACGCTGTTGAATGCGACCTGTTGAATGCGACGCTCTTGAATGCGGCGCTGTTGAATGCGACGCTGTTGAATGCGGCGCTGTTGAATGCGACGCTGTTGAATGCGACGCTGTTGAATGCGACGCTGTTGAATGCGACGCTGTTGAATGCGGCGCTGTTGAATGCGACGCTGTTGAATGCGACGCTGTTGAATGCGGCGCTGTTGAATGCGACGCTGTTGAATGCGACGCTGTTGAATGCGACGCTGTTGAATGCGACGCTGTTGAATGCGACGCTGTTGAATGCGACGCTGTTGAATGCGACGCTGTTGAATGCGACGCTGTTGAATGCGGCGCTGTTGAATGCGACGCTGTTGACTGCGACGCTGTTGAATGCGACGCTGTTGAATGCGACGCTGTTGAATGCGACCCTGTTGAATGCGACGCTCTTGAATGCGGCGCTGTTGAATGCGACGCTGTTGAATGCGACGCTGTTGAATGCGGCGCTGTTGAATGCGACGCTGTTGAATGCGACGCTGTTGAATGCGACGCTGTTGAATGCGGCGCTGTTGAATGCGACGCTGTTGAATGCGACGTTGTTGAATGCGACGCTGTTGAATGCGGCGCTGTTGAATGCGGCGCTGTTGAATGCGACGCTGTTGAATGCGACGCTGTTGAATGCGACGCTGTTGAATGCGACCCTGTTGAATGCGACGCTCTTGAATGCGACGCTGTTGAATGCGACGCTGTTGAATGCGGCGCTGTTGAATTGCGGCGCTGTTGAATGCGACGCTGTTGAATGCGACGCTGTTGAATGCGACGCTGTTGAATGCGACCCTGTGAATGCGACGCTCTTGAATGCGACGCTGTTGAATGCGACGCTGTTGAATGCGGCGCTGTTGAATGCGGCGCTGTTGAATGCGACGCTGTTGAATGCGACGCTGTTGAATGCGACGCTGTTGAATGCGACGCTGTTGAATGCGACGCTGTTGAATGCGACGCTGTTGAATGCGACGCTGTTGAATGCGACGCTGTTGAATGCGATGGCGCGAACGTGGATGCACGGCGTTCGAAGTAAATATTCTCTTTTGACGTGCGTGGTGGCTGCGGTGGCGGTGGCGTGGGGCTGACGGAATGCGCCGCAGCAGCCTGCCTCGTTCGCGCTTTACAAATTCAACTTGTGCAACAACCTTCCCGTAAAAAGCGTTGCGAAACGCGCCCAAAGTAATAATAACGCTGCCGCGGTGATGAGATCCTTTGCACATAATAATAATAAAAATATTATGTTTTCCGGCAACAACACGAACCGAATTAGTCCGGCGCGAAGCGACCAAACCACGAAGCCCCCACAGTTAAAAAAAAAACTATAAACTTAACGTTTTATTTTTACCAGGTAACGCCCACTGAGCTATATATAGCTTTTTTTCAGAAGCAACCTGGCCACTAATGATTGCTCAACGAAGTGGATTATGTGGAAATTTATAGCAGCCAAATTCTCTTAAACACACATTTATTCTAAATGTGGAGGGGAAAACCGGAGGACCTGGAGAAAAATCCACATGACCACGGCGAGAGAGACATACACACACCAATTATACAGGCGTCAGGGTCGGGATCGAACCCACAACATCCTGTGCACCAGGAAAGGTAGTTAACGTCTCGCCAATTGGTTGTTGTGCTCTCCTTCAGTGACCGGGGCTGAAGAGCGCACACATTTACTCTGCTCTGCTTGAGAATGCACTTTAATCGTGAGCAGCCGAACCCCAGATTTGCTCCCAGCATCTTGTTGCCGCTGACTCAGTGCCCCGGTTCCCTGGCTCGTGTTTTTAATGCAGAGGGCAGAGGTCTGAAATCAAAATGCACGAATAATTTCCCAAATTCATCGCCTGCAAGAACACTCTTGGGCCATTCAAGATGGGCGTTCCAAGGTCGTTCATTCCGATATGCCTGGCGTGTGCCATATATGTATGTTGAACTTCTTTCGCGCACCGTACATTAGCCAGCCGCGCTAATCGGAGGTGCGGGGGAAGGACAGCAAACTAAACACAGAAATTAGTTTCCATTCCAGATTTAAAATTACACAGCTCTCACAGTGGCTTCCTATTATGGAGAAGTTGCAAATCACACCACCTTTTTCCTGTCCAGAAATCATGTTGTGTAATTGTACAGTGTTTGTTACTCATTTGTTTAACACCCCGCGATGGCTTTTCTTCTGCCACGTGAGTTCGCCAGCGTTTACAGCGAGTGTTAAGAGTTGGTTTACTGCAAGGTTGTATCTTAACGCCTTATCGGACAAGGCCGAGGGCTTAGCGCGCGGCAGTGGTGACGGTCAGAATCAGAATATTTATTACCTCACCTGAAGACGGTCGCTTGTTGTTGCGATCGAAATGTCGTGATCTATTCATTTTTTCTACCTACATGACTTTACCGAAAGAGTATTTATTGTTCATGCTCGGGGAATCCGATGAGCTATGAAGCTCTTCTTCACGGATGTCCCAGGAGGGGCACGGGGTCAGAACGTCACAACGACGTACAATGCAAAAACACAACACGAGTGGCAAGTATAGGAAAAGTAAACGAAACACTTTAAAAAAATATACAAAGAAAACTAAACTATTTTCGCCTTACCAGTAGAGCCCACTGAGCTATTAAAGCTTATTTTTTTCAGAAGCGACCTGGCCACAAATGATAATAGCTCAACAATGTGACTTATCACGTGGACATCGCAGAAGAACAATGTAATTAATTAACGGTCACGTGACCCCCCCCCCCCATGCAAGGCCGCCACGATGGGAGTCAGGCCTCTCCCTGCGCCGTGTGTGCTGTTGAGTGCGTTGGAGCGTGCGCCATCGGGCCGTGCTGAGCATGTCTCTCCCTCCGCTTTGCCGCCCCCTTGGCGCGTGACGTCGCAGGGCTCGGCCGCGGTGCTGCAGCGTCGCTCGGAGAACGAAGAGTTCGTCGAGGTGGGAAGACTCGGGCCGTCCGACTACTTTGGTGAGAGACGACTCGCTGGCACGCAGATCGCCGAGTTTCTGCCCACCGATCGCCGAGTTTCCCGTCCACCGACCGCCGAGTTTCGTTCGCACGTTTGGTGTTGCGCCATTGTGGTGTTGCGCCCGGCTATATATCGCGGTGGCGCTACGTTTCCGCAGGCGCATGGTCTGCGGTAGTTTGGCATGTAGCGAGGGACGAAGTTTGCTACGTGTATTCCCAATTGACTGTTTTGTGGGCAACTGTTGAAATCTGGCAGTATTTTGGACCATGACGCTCGCAATGGCCTACTATGTTCGAACGGCGTCACCAGATCTTTAACGGTCCCCCATTTGATGCGGACGGCGCGTAGCATCTGAGGGTTAATTCACCCGCAGTATTAACCAGGTCGGCCTGCCCGATTCGAACTGCGAACCTCTACAATCAGCGCACGAACGCTCTTCCGCCGGGCCACGTCAACTACTTTCACAGCCGCAGTCCGGTCATAGTAAACTAAACTATTCAACATTTTTTTTCTTCTACCCAGGTAAGGCACACTGAGCTCTTCTTCACGAGCGACCTGGCCATCATAAACGACAGCTCAACGAAAGTTGGCTTATCGTCAACGTGGAAATGTATAGTACTCTAAACGTGTGTTGAAAAACCGGAGGACCCGCAGAAAAATCCGCACGACCACGGGGAGAGAGAGAGACATGCAAACTCCAAATATACACCAGGCTTTAGGGTCGGGATCGAACCCATAACCTCCTGCATACCAGGCGAGGTATACAGGAGCTTCTGCAAATGCTCCCTAAGTTGATAATCTGAGAAAATAGAAACGTATGGAGTGGGGGAGGGGGGGGGTAGTGGTGGGTGCGGGTGGGGGAGGGCAGAGCCTGCCCGACGAGCGTGTTGATTCACGCGTCCGCAGCGTCACGGCCTGCGTTTGTAAACGTCCACGCGGTCGTGTCGTCTCTAAACCACGGCGCCCTCCCGTGCACGTTGTCGTCGAGTCCCCAACGTCACGTTGGCAGGTAGCGATTGATAGAAACGCGCACAAAGAAGAATAGGAAGGTGTGGGCGGTGGGGGGGGGGGGGGGGGGGGGGGGGCTGTGGCAAGGAGGGGAGGGGGGGGTGCTCGAGTCAACAGTGCAGACGCGTCCAGTCGGTGGGAGGTCCAACAAACGTGAGGAGCAGCGGGAATGAAAGCCCGTGGCCCTCCCATTGAGCAGAGGTCAACCGGCGGCGGGGGTGTTGACGGAAGGGGCATGCTCGGCGGAGCGGGTAGAGGGCACATGAAGGGGGATTAGATTGGGGGGGTGCAATGGCAGGGGGTCGGTGACGTCAAGTTCACGTCGCAGCCTCTCTCGGCGACCGGACCTGGAGAGACCGGCGGAGGTGAGCCGAGGACTTGATGCGGTCTCGTGGACGGGTCTCGCCCGCGGCGTTCCGGATCATTAGGGGGTTTGGAGGTGAGGGGGGGCGGAGGGATGTGGGCAGGCCATAGAGGAGCGAGAGTCGCTTGTGTTCCAAGACAACAGGCGATGAAAGTAACAGATGGAGGGTCTCAATAGGGAACTGGAGGAGGAGGAGGTGCGTGCGTGCCTGCGACGGTGGTGCGCTTGGGAGTTTTGTGTCGAGGAGGGTGGCGAGAGAGCGCGGCCTCGAAGCCGGGGGCAGCGAGCGGTGTCGAGCTTCCCCGTGCGGCTGTGGGGATTACGTACGGGCGGTGAGACGTAGGAATATGACCCAGGAGTGTAGGGGAAGGGTCGAAGTTCTGAGCCCAAATTGCGTAGCAGCAGGACAGCGCGTGGCGAGACCTATCGCTCGCGTTATCGCGGGGCAGGGGAGACAGAGGCGGCCTGGTGCTGGCCACGCCACTATTATTTGGATTATATTAAAACATTTATTACACTTTCCTTTAAAGCAACAGTTGGGAGTTGCCAGTAGCCTTATGGTATGGTCAGTTGGTGGTACAGGATGTGTGTGTGTGACTAGATTTGTGTCACTTTATTGAACACCGGGTACAGGTTTGTGGTGAATCTTGCTGTCCGGAGCATCTTATAATCCGGAGATTACGGGAACAGCACTCGCACCACAACAGTCTGTGACGCAGGAGATGTGCTCAGGATTTTCGGATTGATTCGAAAACTAGGCCAAGCATTGACATTTCGGATGATCCAAAAATTATCCTCGTTTTTGTATTTCATTGATCCAGACGCTGGAAGAAGACGTCACGAACGCCGCGTCACTTCCCCGCTTTCCCCATCAACAGTGGGGGTCGCGCGGCGTCGGGTGACGTCGCAGTCGCCTCGCGCGCGTTTCGCACGCGAGGCGTTCGACGTGCCGACGGTTGTTACTCTTCGGCGTGAAAGGAGAACCGTCCGAGGAGAATAAGAAAGAAAGAAAAAAACAATCACAAAAATAAACTGTCCGTCGAAACCCCAAGCGTTTTTTTTTTTTTTACAAACCCGATCGATCGATCGCTCGCTCGCTCGTCCCCTGTACGAGGCCATGGCGGCGCGAGTGGGAGGGTGATGTCTCCATGTCCCGTGTGCCGTTGTCTCCGTGGGGGACGCAGGCGAGATCGCGCTGCTGCTCGACCGGCCGCGCGCCGCCACGGTGGTGTCGCGGGGGCCGCTCAAGTGCGTCAAGCTGGACCGGCCGCGCTTCGAGCGCGTCCTGGGGCCCTGCTCGGACATCCTCAAGCGCAACATCCAGCAGTACAACAGCTTCGTGTCGCTCTCCGTCTGAACCGTCGGCCGCCGGCGCCGCCGCAGCCGCCGCTGGTGGTGGACCCCGTTGCTACTTTCTCCCCCCCGCCACCACCTCCTGCCCCTGCCCCCCCTGGCCTCCCCCGCCTCGGCCCCCCACTTCTCCCACACCGTCATCTTCTGCTCCTCCACCTCCGACGACGGCGGGGCGGTCGCGCGGAAGCCGTCCGACGCCGAAGCTTGCCCGCGGGTTGCTGACACGGGCGCTGTCGGCACGGGGGGTGGGGGGGGGGGGGGGTGGACGCCGACTGTTGGTGCGTGCCGGTAGTCGCATGCGGCGCGGGGGGATCTAGGCGTCGTGGCGATTTGTCAACCGCTGACCGCCACCCCCTCCCCGCCCCTCACCCCCGCCGATCGCCGCCCAGTGACTCGTTTGTGTTATCCGTCTCGTCTGTACCGCTTGGCTCGTTAATTCCTTTCCCTCGTTTGTTCCGTTGGTCTTGTGTTCGGTTCTGTTCGGCGTCTCAGAATGATTTTTTTGCCGTAAATTGAGCGACAACGACAAGGGTTCGATCGTTTGTGTTTTGTCGTACCTCTCTCCCGCGTCCTTTCTCCGGTTGACACGTTGCGCTGTCCGTAATCTCTGCCGCGCTTGCAACTGTGTCCCCGCGGTGTCGGCGTCTCTGGCCTCGTCTTGTCGTACGTCTCGTCTCGTCTCCCCCGCTGCTGTCTGTGCCTCATTCTCGTGTCGTCTGCGCTGTCTGTCTTGCACTGTCGCCTTTGGCGCTCACATTTTGTTCCCCTATCCTGAGGGTCAAAAATGCGACGGTTGTTTTCGTTGCGCAGGTAAACAATTGATTCTTCCGCTCACCGTTCAAAGCGTTTTAATTTGAGCGTGAGAATCGATTGTTAACTGGATGATGACTCTCCACCGATATACGCGGCTCAACTCCACACCATCCCAGCTCCATCGTTTCAAACCCCCCCCCACGCTCTGGAAATTCACTCCCCACGTCCTGGAAATTTTACCCATACACTGTGGAAATTCACCCTCTGGCTAGGCCCTATGACGCTCTCCAATATGATCTATCTCTTAATTTTTTTGACATTCTTTAAAAAATAGGAACTTGTTTCTCGCATTTCTTTTTTTGTCTAAGCAAAGATGCCAGCTGTTGGCGTGATAACTGCGGAGTTCCGGGTACACTGGGAGATCTAATCTCACGGAACAGAACCACCTGCACAGAGATATTGCGCACATTACCAAAGGTATCTGAATCAGTTTTACAATGGTTTTTACTGACACGGAGCGTCATGCCTGCCATGCCTCGTGTGGGCTATTGTGCTTGCTCGGGCGATAAAAGGGCTTTATTGGGCTGCGGCTATCAAATCAACTTTGCGCTCTTGACCATCTTCGCATGCAAGCTGCAGTGCCGATGGCTTCAGGGTTAAAACCCATCTCTGGCGAAGTGTCACTCGAGGTGAAGTGTGGGCGCACCTGACGGTGATCCGATCCGCACCTCTGCCGCTCCTCGTAGTTCTGGCTGGCCGGGCTTCACAGGCAAAGGGGTTTTGACAGCGTTCCCAAGAATTTTTTACGTGCATGCGTGCGTGCGTGCGTGCCAGCCATTAGTAGCACAGAGCGCAGGACACGGAGCGAAGGAAAAGGAATATTTTTTTAGGTGACCCGGGGGGGGGGGGGGGGCGGGGGGCGGTAGGGGGTTGGGGGGGGTGGAGGTGGTGAGGAACGGGGGGGGAGGTGGTGTGCGTGGGCGTGCTTGCATTTAAAGTGAACACAACGTGTCTTCTCAGTTATTGGGCCGTAATCTGAAGGGTAAAGCTGGGGTTAAGGTCGCTAACCCTTACCACAATAATCCGTGTTCTCAATCTGAACCACGCTTCGCGATAGCGAAGCCGACTTTGGCAGTCTGTTGCCATTCGCCGGTCTCGGGGTAGTTTTTTGTTGTTGTTGTTTAGCGCTTCCCCGCTTGCACGCTAGCGTGTCGCTCCCCCCCGCCCCCCATCACTTCGCGTGGAGAGAGAGATGGGGGGGGGGCGATGGGCGTTCTACACGCGCGCCGTCATACCGTACTTCACGCACGCCCTCCGCGCAGAACCCCCGAAGCTCCCTCGGGGCTCACTATTCGGACTCTCCGGCTTCTGCTGGAGTGCGCGAGCCCCCATTGACCTTGCTCGCGTGACATTTTCTTACCACAAAATTTTTGAAACACCCTCACCTCTCGGCGGCGGGTGGGGGGGGAGGGGGTGTAGCGTGTTGTTCGCCCATAAAGTCATAAAAGACGGGTCTGAGCCGTTGATGAGCAGGCGCGCGTGAGTCTTTGCTCCCACACCAGGCAGGAGGTGTAAGAGCCGTCAACATCGCTGGTTGGGCGCCACAGTGACAAGGCGCTAACCACCTCGCCTGGGACGCACGAGGTCGTGGGTTCGATCCTGACCCAGGCACCTGTTGTGTGTTCGGAGTTCGCACGTTCTCCCCGTGGTCGCGTGGATCTTTCGTCCCAGTCCTCCGGTTTTTCCCTCCGCACTTATAATCGACGTCACGCGCTTCAGAGTATTTGGCTACTGCTAAAAATGTCCGCACGACGATGATAAACCCACTTCGTTGAGCTGTCATGTGTGATAGCCAGGTCGCTTCTAAATAAAAAAAAAATAGACCCACATTGCCTTACCTGGTAATTTAAGAATTAGTTTTATCAGCGATGACGCGCGCAAGCCTCTTTCTCGAGCACGATCGATTATTTTCTTGTGTCGTGTTCCATTGTGACGCCGCTGTTATTTCCCTCCCCACCTCCTTGGCGGCTCACTTCATTTTTTTTTATCCCATACTCTCTGGTTCTTTCGGTAAAGTCACGTAGGTATAAAATAACAATAAATCACGACTTTTCGATTGCAACACAAGCAATCGTCATCAGGTGGGAAAACCACAGCAATTTTTTTGTTTTGCTGAAGTGGAAGAGAGATGCCGTGGTAAGAGTTATATATAGGTAAGAGAGGGGGGAGGGGCAAGGGAGGGGGGTAGGGGGAGCGTTGCGTGGACGCTAGGAGAGGGATACGTGAGGCTGGACGGGGGTGGGGGAGGGGAAGTGGGCGGGGCTGGAAGTGGGCGGGGCTGGAAGTGGGAAGTGGGGGGGATACAACAACAACAACAACGTCACTGCAGCAACAATGCCAATGAAGCCAACAATGACAATGCAGCAACAATGCCAATGAAGCCAACAATGCCAATGGAGCAGCAATGCCAAACGCTGGGGATGCAAATTAACTCGGCAAAATAGACTAGTGCCCGGCAAATATGATGGAACAACCATACGCAGTTAAGGTTTTACCTGGTTCATAACATCCTTCCAGTGATTGCTCAATTTGTATCCATCTTCTCGGTTGAAGTTATGTCTGTGTTTATATAATTTTTTTTCCCCTCCAGCCTTTCGTTGGAGACGCACGTGATCACGGGGAACGTGCATAGCCTACGGTTGATTTTGTTTTCCTCTGCGTCTTGCGGTGGTTTCCCAACCCCCCGCTCCCCAAGCCCCCCCCCCCCGCCGCCCCCGCTTATATAAAATAAGAATCCCGACGCCCGCCTCTGCTCGTCGTTGCATGGAGCGTCATACTCCGGCGCGTAGGTTTTATTACGCTCGTTTTAAGTTTAGTTTTTTTGCATTCTACTTATTTGCGTTCCTATTAATCCATAAGGTCCGGGGTTCGTACGCGAAGTATGATGGTAATTGATAATACATAATAATAATAATAATTCGGTGTCGCTGCTTGTAGCGTCACGAAAATCGCCTCCGTTACCCGAGCAACCGATCGATTGCGCGCGCAACAGAATCGCTTCGCTTTGCCGTCGTCATAATCCCACTTGCAACTGCCTTGTCCACGTGTGAGCGCGCGTAGTAGTTGTGCAACGAGGCGGCGGCGGCGGGGGCAGCCCGAATGCGACCAAGGGAGGGCACGCGACGGGCCGAGCGGACCTCGCCGCGTGCCCGGGGCGTGCGCCTCCCTCGCCGCGCGCAACCCGGTCGCGGAGACGTCCGCGCGTAGGCGATGCGTTGTTGCGCAACTGATGGGCCCCCCCCCCCGCTCCCCCCCGGGTGCACCACCTGGGTTTACGCGTGGTGGGGCGCGTGCACGTTTCACAGGTGAGCCGGCGCTGAAGGATTTGAGCTCCCCCTTTTTTGGCCCTTGCACGGCAAGGAGGCAGCGCGGCGGCCGGAGCCCTCGGGAGATTTCGCCGCGTTTGGAGCGAATCCCTTCATCCCGTGCGCCTTTGGAGCCGCTCTGCTTTTGGTTGTGCATCCAGTGTCCTGTGTGTGTAGTGTCCTGTGTGTGTAGTGTCCTGTGTGTGTGTAGTGTTCTGTGTGTGTGTAGTGTCCTGTGTGTGTGTGTGTAGTGTCCTGTGTGTGTGTGTAGTGTCCTGTGTGTGTGTGTGTAATGTCCTGTGTGTGTGTGTAGTGTCCTGTGTGTGTGTGTAGTGTCCTGTGTGTGTGTGTGTAGTGTCCTGTGTGTGTGTAGTGTTGTGTGTGTGTGTGGTTTCCTGTGTGTGTGGTTTCCTGTGTGTGTGTAGTGTCCTGTGTGTGTGTGGTTTCCTGTGTGTGTGTGGTTTCCTGTGTGTGTGTAGTGTCCTGTGTGTGTGTGTGCGCATGCAGTGTCCTATGTGTGTGTGTGGTTTCCTGTGTGTGTGTGTAGTGTACTGTGTGTGTGTGTGGTTTCCTGTGTGTGTGTGTAGTGTCCTGTGTGTGTGTGTGTGGTTTCCTGTGTGTGTGTGTAGTGTCCTGTGTGTGTGTGGTTTCCTGTGTGTGTGTGTAGTGTCCTGTATGTGTGTGTGCATGCAGTATCCTGTGTGTGTGTGGTTTCCTGTGTGTGTAGTGTCCTGTGTGTGTGTGGTTTCCTGTGTGTGTGTGTAGTGTCCTGTGTGTAGTGTCCTGTGTGTGTGTAGTGTCCTGTGTGTGTGTGCATGCAGTGTCCTGTGTGTGTGTGTTGTGTGCATGCGTGCGCGCCGGTGGCGAGCGGTAGTCTTGCGGTTAGCGCTACGCTGCGCTACGGACCCGGCTGCCCGAGTTCGATTCCCGGCTCACGGTCAACACCAGTGACGAATATCTGAACCGGACATGGGCATCCCCTAGGTCGACTCGGCCTCAAATGAGTACCTGGTGCAGTGTGTAAACATCGCCACTGGGGAGACAAAGGCGGCCGGTCGTGGGGGTTGGCCCCACAAAGTCCGTTAAAGGCTATGCACAGGGGATCTTTGTCTCTGTACGACCACATGAGCTGGTGCGCGCGTGAGTGGTTACTGTACGAACGAGAGGTAGTGTGTTTTATAATTGACGAATGCGTTGTGTTTGTACGACTTGTTTATCGACGCGTAATCCTTGTTAATGTGTGCACGTGCGTGCGTGCGTGGTTTTATGGCGAGCGACGGTGCGCGGTGTCGAGTGCAACGTGTCGCTGCAGACCGGGCGCTGTCCAGCGTTCTCTTAATTCCCAGCCACTCGCAACAAACAGCGGCGATCAACGAGTTGGAACCTGACCTGCCCTGACCTGACCTGGGCCTGGGCCTGGCTCTCGTCGAGGTCAACTCGGCCTGAAACACGAGTTGACTGCCCGGTGCAGTCGGCGCGAGCGTGGACGCGTAAATATAAATGTTGTCGTTGAATCCGCCGCCACCACCCGACACAGCCGACCGGTAAGGTTTGTCACGTAAACAACGCGTGGCAATCGTGTTATTGGTTCTCTCGGTAAAGTCACCACGTGGAAGGGAAACAATAAAATAATAAAAAATATAAAACAATTAAATTCTCACGACGTTTCGACTGCAACACAAGCAATCGTCATCAGGTGTGAAACCACAGCAAGTAAATTTGAAAAAAAGTGTCGGTTTAAAAAAAACGCCACTTTTTTCAATTTGTTTTGCTGCGGTTTTCACACCTGATGATGATTGCTTGTGTTGCAGTCGAAACGTCGTTAGAATTTTATTGTTTTATATTTTTATTATTTTATTGTTTCCCTTCCACGTGACTTTACCGAAAGAACCAAGAATATGAATCCCTGCAGTCACGAAAGCTTTAAGTAAAAATTTTACGTGGCAATCGGTTACTAGTTCGGCACACCGGTGTGTTGGAGAGTTTAACCCACTACAGAATTTACAGTTCCGAGTACTGTGACGTTTCGCCGGTAATTACAACAACCAGCATCATCAGGTGACAGCGAACACACACAACCGGAGTGCTGAACCAGTCACGAATTTGCACATTTTGCTTACGGTGACGAACCTTGCTGATATTAGTGACGCATCTATACTAACGGGATCTAACCCCCCCCCCCTAAAAAAAAAAACTCTTACGAATCATATTGGTCGCGGCAGCCCGACTACGTGATAAACGGTGCAATGCAACCCGTGTCACCTATTAGTGCTGTGCCTGGCTTTTTAATTGATATCTGCTCGTTAACCGCCCCCCCCCCCCCAATGCCTTCCCGATAGTTTATCCGGCGTAAAAGTGTGGGGGCGGGGGGGGGGGCGGTGGAACCTTCGTCCCCTTTTCGCGAGACGTCCTCTTAGAATCGCGCGTGTGCATCGCGTGTTCATCGCGTGTGCATCGCGTGTGCATCGCGTGTGCATCGCGTGTGCATCGCGCGTGCATCGCGCGTGCATCGCGCGTGCATCGCGCGTGCATCGCGCGTG